CATACTCTGCCGTTTTGTTTCAGGCTCGAAATGGTGAAACTAGCTTTTGTCACCTGTCACAATATATAGCAAAAAATCATTGCCTTTGTGTCGATATCTCTCCAGCAGTTCTGAGGTGATGGCTTTCGCTGATCTTTGTGGTCTTCGGTCAATAACCGCGGGACCCAACGAGCACAAGCTTTCCTATAGCCCAAGCTTTCAATCATCTCCTGTACTGCACTGTGCCCTATTCCAACTTTTGGGGCTATTGTGTCCACAGTCACACACCTGTCATCTTCAATGATCTCATCCACTCTTTCCTTGTTGCGTTCAGTTGAGGCTGTTTGAGGACGTCCGCTCCAAGGCTCATCTTCGATGCTGGTGTTCCCATCTTTAAAATGTTCCACCCATCTTCAAACACTGATCGCACCCATGCACACACTTTCATAAGCATGCTGAAGTGTCTGGTGAATTTCTGCAGCAGGGATTTCCTCTTTCACAAGAAATTCGACGACAGCACGCTGGCGAAACGACGTATCGTTGTCAGCCATTTTGTTAGGAGTGATACTGGTCACGTGATGCAAGCTATTGACGTCACAAGACACTCAAGGTTAACAAACAGCTGGTTCCACCTACCACCATACTCTCTTTCTTCTGCTGTTCCCAGGTTGCATGCAAAAAAAAGTTGCTCATGACTTTCGGCATGACCTACGTATAATAATATTTAGGTGAGAATAATCTGTAAAATTCTGTTTTCTTTCTTTTTAAGATATTGATGAGTGTAATACAATACCAGATCTTTGCCGCAATGGAAGATGCATAAATACCCTTGGTTCATATCGATGTATCTGTAACAAGGGTTATAAGCCTCATCACAGTGGAACACGCTGTCTTGGTATGTTAGATTCCAATATATAACTGTAATTAATACAAAGAAACTGACTATGGCCACGCCATAGCTCAAACTGTTAGTCACTGGCTTCCCATCGCAGTGGCCCGGGTCTGGTCAAGTGGGATTTGTGGTGGCCAATGTGGCGCTGGGGCAGGTTTTCTCCGAGTACTTCGGTTTCCCCTGCCAATCTTCATTCCACCAATTGCTCCACAATCACCCTCACCTATTAACTGGGGCTGGTACAATAGGCCAGAAGTGGCTGCAGTACAAGGGACTTAGTCCCACTCCACTAGCAATAAAAAAAAGGGAAAAAACTGACTAACCAGAGTGCTTTTATAGACACATCAACTATGCTTCATATACCATTCAGAGCACTGGAAAATAGTGCTATATATGATTGGACTTTTTATTTTATATTTATTTTGTGAAGTAAATATATCAGTATGTATCAAAATATGGAGGACACATGTAAGGAAATTATTATTTAATTTTTTTTGTTGATTTGATTTAGTCAAGTTTTCAGTTATTTAGCACTAAACTCCAAAAATTGATTTGTAGACACAACTTTAATTAATTTTTTGCCTTTGTTCAGTGTATGTCCTTTTATTTCTTTAATTTTTAAATTAAAAAAAATATTATACACTTGATAGATCAAAGGTTCTTTTCAAGCAGTATGTCACACTTTCATGTGTCAAAGAATATTCTGTAAGTCCTGAAATTTTTATTCATCTCCAATTTAATGCTTTCATTGGCCTCAAAGTCTTTTTTTCCAACATATCCTTCATCTGCCCCTTAGTCTCTGCCATTCAAATTTACAGTTCCATTCTGTCTTCAGCCACCTGTCTTCACACATTCTATTTATACAGTCTTTCCATCTCTTCAATAAGTTCACATTTATTTCATAATTTTTTCCTCTGAATTGTAAGTCATTTACATCAGAAGCATCTCCTAATCAGAGCAAAAAATCACATATTACAGAAAAGAAGCTTCTGTACATTTGATTTTCAGGACCTTTGTTACCTAACTTGTGTTACTGAGCTAAAGAAATAAAGGAAGAATTAATTACATATTACCATTTGGAAGTAATGGAGTCTGCTTTCTGTTAGTGACCACATACTGAGAGAGATGAAATGCAGAGGTTGTTACAGCATTAGAAAACAACATAAAGAACGCAAGCTCTAGAAGTTCAGTATATTTATTTGGTTAAAAATGTGTACTACAATTATTTATTGCACTGTACTTTACTGTGTGTTAATTTTCAGATGTGAATGAGTGTGAACAAGTTCCTTCACCATGTAAGTTTGCATGCCAGAACACAGATGGGAGTTTTATTTGCTCATGCCCAATTGGATTTGTTCTCAACCCTGATGGAGTTAGTTGTCGTGATCTGGATGAGTGTGCAACAGGACGACATGTATGTCAGCATGAATGTGTCAATACACAAGGCAGTTATAAATGTTCATGTCCAAAAGGCTACAATCAGATTGGAGACCAATGTACAGGTAAGTAGTATGTTCAGTATTATCTGGGAAGCCAAAGTTGCAAGCTTGTGTTGATGTCATGTTTAGGTAACATAAATTTATAATTGTTCATTGACATGCAGTCTACCCCATGATATTACATGTTGAACTCATGCACATATGGTCATACGACTAAACCCTAGTTGAGTCAGAAACTGTTGTTACTTACAGTTGGAAATATGTTAATAGATTATTTTGACTATTGCCACCACCACCACCACCACCTCCCCCCCTCCTCCTCCTAGGACTGGGTTGCATTTCTTACATCAAGAGTATTCATACAAAGAATGTAAACACAAGAAAAATACTGTAACATGTTTGGAATCCAGAAGAGTTACTTCCATGGAAACGCTAGAACAGGCCGTTCCCTAGGAAGTAACAATAGCGATACTGTAGTTCTAACAGGAGTCTCCACGGTTATAACAAAGGGTTCGTTGCATAGCAGCGACCTAGGTTATAAAACGGGGTTGAATGCATTCGCACGGTTAGTCTGCTATAAACCGCCGAAGAAAGCAGTCCAGTATCGGCCGAGATATTGTAAGCAGTAATTGTAACACTGCAAGAGTTAATGACTGTAAAGTGTGTAAGGTGGGCGAGTGGAATAAATTCGCTATATCAAATACCACGGCATAAACTTATTTGTAGCGTGACACACACAACACGCTACAATACAGATTGATTCCACAAAAATGTCTCTCTCTTAACAAGAATTTAGCATTCAACAATAATATTAAATTGTGAAGGGAGAAAATACACCAGTGAGGGATTAGTATTGTGGTGCCTGTTATTAACCCTGTCACATCCACATTTTTCAAACGCTGACATATTGTGGAGACCAGATTTTTTGTTCTCATTTCAGGTTTTGCTGCTTTTGTTGCTATTTTCTTGATTATGTCTGGAAAAAGTGTTTACTACCTCTTCAACTTCCATTCTTTGAACAGGTTGGAAAAATGAAACATTCAGATATATGTAACATGGGTTTATTCAGAATTTGTATGAAGAAAAAACAGGACAAACTGGAATTGAGTATATTTGGGGTTGGTCCTGAAAGAATTCAAAATAAATAAACATGCTGTACATATGTAACACAAACATAAGCAACTGAAGCAAAGGAATTCTCATAGGCCTGTCTGTAAGTAGCACTTCATTCTGACAGATATCAACGAGTGCCTGGAGCAGACTGGAACTTGTCCACTTCCTGGGACTTGTATCAATACACTGGGAAGTTTCAAATGCATTTGTCCTCGAGGATACAAGTTGGATTCAACAGGAACGTTTTGTACAGATGCAGATGAATGCACTGATGATTCTAAATGTCCATATGGTTATGGCTGCCAGGTACACCATTATCTCATATTTTAACCTTTATTTGACTTTTCATTGGTATGTGGGGTCACCACAAACCAAGCTTTGTTTAGGGCAGTTATAGAGTTCTGATTCCAGATTTTACTTAGGGTGGTGTCTTTTCTGTAATATCATTATTGTACTACCGTGATGGTCCCTGCAGTCATTTATGCATAATTATATATACAAGGTCTTGTGAGATTTGATGTCTTCACAGTGGTGATTATGAAGATTACTGTCTTCTGGGATGACACCATACAGTCTGGTAGAAACTTGTTGACTCTTTGGAAGAATGTGCTGCCTTTATCTGCAGGGTGGAAGAGTGAGCCAGACATGGAAAGAAGGACAGCTGGGTTAGGAACTGTGAGAGCACCAACAGGATTAAGGAAGAGGGGAAAATGTCTGAGGCCCTTAAAGCTTGTTTGTGCGGGTGGATGGGGAGGGGGCGACAGAGTAGAGAAATGTGAGAAAAATGGCATGAGTGGGCATGGATGGTGTAAGGAGGTCAAGAGAGATGAAGTAAGGAAACAGAGACCTAAAGCAGTGTTTCCCAACCACCAGGCCACGGCCCAGTACCTGGCCCTGGCATCAATTATACCGGGCCCTCGTCTTATAGAAAAACAAATTTACCGAGCTGCGGTCTGACAAAGTTTTGAGAACCACTGCCCTAAAGAACCTGTTTCAGTACAAAATTTGATGGGAGCAAAAACAAAAACACACTTCTTATTCCTTCCACATATCCGTGTTTGGCAAGAGAGTTTGATGGTGTTAAATACAATATTATATTTACTCACTGTGACATATTAAAATATATAGTATCATCATCATGGGGTTATTTGTTTTCCACAGAATCTGGTTGGCACCTTCCGATGTGCTTGTCCAGAAGGTTTCATTCAGCACTTTTATCGCAGCGAGTGTGTAGATGATAATGAATGCAACCAGTCTCCCTGTGGCTCTGGTGCATGTTACAACACTTTTGGTAGCTACCGTTGTGGATGCCCTGATGGCTACCAATTTGACACAGCACTCTCTGTTTGCATACAGGTAGAACTATTTATCTTGTGTGATAGATAATACAAATATAATGAAACTCATCATGGTCTTGGATAGTAGTGTCAAATTTAACTAAGTCTGCCACCCACTTGCCTCACCTTCACAGGGGGATAATGCAACAGCATGGTGAAAAGAAAATTGAAAAATTAACTGGATCGTGAAAATTAGGACTTAAATATGGATATCAGGAACCTTGAGTTTGAACTTCATTATATGTAATACTAAGATGCACTTGAGGTTTTCTTGACATACAATTCATTGTACAAAGTACTTTTTCAGCGTGTAGATATACTGGCAAACTTGAAAGTCAAAACTTGCACATCTGCCAGTGTACTGTATATTTCAACCTTGAGGCTAAAACCACGCATGAGATTACCAGCAATAATCATTACTTATAGAGAAAACAGTACGTAAGAAATACAGGGCAGATTCTTTACAAATATTCAGTTTTAAAATCAGACTATGAAAAAACAAATTAAGGAATGAGTAATTTCAGTTTCTCCCATAAAACTACCAGAAAGTTAAAAGACAAAAAATATTACAATGCTACAAAGTGTGCTGTACTGATCACCACTGTTACTTTATTGTCAATGCTGCCTGATTGTATAATATCCTTTCGTGCAGTCATATTCTGTCCCATGTTTTCTGTATTACTGCTAGGTGACCATAAAGAATTTACATGGCATAAAAAGCACCCTACATCTACTGTTGTTTTATTGCTTAGCAGTCATGTAATGTATCAAGCAATCATTGTGCAGCACCATCACAGTACACAGCTAATATTCAACAAATTTGAAAGTACAGAAAATTTGGTTGTAGGTTCATTTTCTTCACAGAGACCTTTCATTGAAGTGAAAATACAAATATGTAAAACTTAAGAAAGTGTAAAATGAAAAATCATAACTTCAGAGATGTACTGTATTCCATTTATGGAACACTGTTTTGTGGTGCATTGTAATTTCAACAAAAGACATACTTAAAGCTTATCACTTCTTGGCAATATCCATTCATGAATTTGCCGTCTTCAGTTTCCATTTTCTAAACCTCAGTCTGAATGTGCATTTTACATTTATATGCAGGTCTCCCACTAACTTTTTTCTTTGTGGTAAAACATTTTTCACTAATTTTTCCTCCCTCATTTGTTCAACATGGATACACCATCTCAGCAGTCTTGCTTTATAGGTTCCTTGTCACTGATGAAGTGACCTATGAATGCATTTGTTCAAACTGTGTTTTGTGACACTTGTTTTGCAATACTGTGTTTTGCTTTGTGTCTTTGATCAAAATGTGTTTTGTGACACTGCTGTTATGCAATACTGTGTTTTACTTTATGTCCTTATTGTGCTCATTATGAATGTATGTATATATCATTATTTTATGTTTATATTATATTTGTATCTTGACAGGTTCTATATCCCATAGGTTGGTTTGACCTTGTATGGATTAACAGAATGCAAATGAATGAATGAATGAATGAAAACATCAGTTTCTCCTCATAATTTTTCATTACATGTTCTGTTTCATCTTGTTATCTGAAAACATCTTTTTAAGTAAACAAATTTAACCATCCTTATATTATTTCTTACTTACATTAATTTCATAATTATTTAGAATCTATAGTGTTACAAAAATTTTCATTTTAACCTGTGCTTGAAGAGGTTTGGGGTTGCCATTATTCCACAGTTTAACCTCCATTGATGTGACTGTTCTATGTAAATACTTCATTTAGGTTAGTGCTGGTTGTGCAGGAAGCCCATGTGCATTTGGCTGTACTTCACTAGGTGGCAACAGTTTTCAGTGTGGCTGTCCAACGGGATACCAACGTATTGGTCAAGTACGTATACACTTCTCACTTATAATTTCAGAAATTGTTAACATCTTTCAATATGTTTATCCATAAAAATGATTGGTAATAACAAGAAATACTCTGAATGGGTCCTGTTGAATCCAGTTCATTAAAATGTGTAACTTTAGCACATCATTATCAAAATAAGTTTCCCATTCAGGCAGCGTCTAGAGCTGACCTTGATCGACTACTTTAAAACTATGTCTCTCCATAATTTTAAAAGGGTCCTCAAGACATTGTGTTGACCTAGTTCACAAGGCACAGAAACCGAATTCTTTCTTCAGTCAAATCTTACACACACACACACACACACACACACATATATATATATATTGTCACGTGTCATGAGTTTGAATCCTGTCGGTCACGGGTGTAAGTCCAATCCCACTTCTGACACCAGTGTAACGTGTTTTGTTACTGAAGACACCGTTCGGATTGTTAATTGGTTTATTTAACAACCTACAAATCTCGGCTACAATTATTTGTAATACAGTTGCGGGGTTTCACACTTTATAACCCTATTCGCAATATTCAATTCACTCTATTGTCAGCAGTCTACACGTTTCACAGTACGGGAGCTATATAAGTGTCACTGTATCACACACTCCCAATTATTACTCGGTTATCACGAACTATCACTGATTCTCACACATGCATCCATAACTCGTAACTGCTCTCTTGAGAACTGCCTTTGGCCGCTGATACACTTTAACTGTCTCCGGGGACGGCTACACGTTAACTCACTGTGGCGGCTCTGTATTTCCCTTTTATAGTCTCAGCGCTTGCCTGTTATGTAATCTGTACCGCTGTTACCTCACGCCGTATTATGTCACCGCGCGTTGCATGTTACGTCACACGGGGTGATGACTCGCCTATTACCGTAGTAACGAGAGCGCTACATTGCCGCCACGTACCGCTGGGGAGGTAGGGGTCCTCCGTTGCGCAACATGTCACAATAAATATATGTGTGTGCGTGCGTGCGTTCGCGCGCATGTGTGTGTAGAAACCTAAGGCTATCTTGGATTTCCAGATTATGTTTCAAACAGAAAGGTGTGGAAGTAGTTGTGGGATTGGTCGCCAAGTGGCAATGCATTGACCTATGTGTAAACATATTTAAAATTACTGATAGCGTTTATATTGAATTAAATCTTGATTTAATATATATAAGAGCTTATCGATGGAGGGAATATCCGTGGAGAGTGTAGCTAGAGACAGGGATTGTTTGTTTTGGGATTTTGTCTTTTGTTTCTAACTAGACATTGACATGACTGATTTCCCAAGAAAATTTTAGCACACTTATTTGCATGTAGCCATGCCTCCCAAAACAAAGATAAGTGAGGGTACACGTATGAAAGCTGTGAAGCAATGCTGAAAGAATGATTATGTTACATAACTCATTCAAATTCATATATCAGAATCCATTCCAAGCCAGCATGGACATATGTTTGGACTCATGAAAGCTCAAATTCCTTAAAATATTTTCTTTATTTCTCTTTATTTCCGTAAATTCATCCCAAATTTCTGAATTAGTACTGAAACATTGCGCTTCTTGCATCAATTTTCTCTTCTTTTAGGGTCACTGTCTGTCAACAATAAATCCTGTAGCCCATAGCTATACAACAGGAGAAGATATAGGAAATGTCCCAACTTACCCTATTGAATCTGATCACTATCAGATACCGCAAGACAAACTCATTTCTACCGAAGGTTGTTTCTCTTGCAAGGTATGTATGCTGTATATTAACCTTTAAGTGACGGCCCTTTAAATTCCGGTAATGGCAGCGGGACGGATTTGATTTAAATACCCGCAAACATAATAAATAAATTGTCATATTATTATCTCTGTATTACTATATTATTATTATTATTATTATTATTATTATTATTATTATTATAGTCATATTATTTCTGTATTATTATATACTTATTATTTAGTATTAGTATTAATATTAATCTTTGACTTGTCCCATATCATGTATAATGATCCATGGATGAAATAAAATTGAATTGAATTGAAAAAAAAATTAAAAAAGCAGTACAAATGTGTGCCCTGTTGGATGTATCCAGCTGGGATACAGAACACAGTCTGAAAATCGGTACTGCCCGACCAAAAGCAGGACATCTGGGATAACTAGTCATAATGTACAATATCGTCACGATTTAGAGTGTGGATTAATGAACAGATTAATTGACCACTTACACAATTTCGAACTACAAGCAATTACATTGACGCTGCTAATCTCTACAATCACATATCACCACAGCACACACTAAGTCTCTTCCAGCCTGTTATGTCTTTGCCAGTCGTTCCCTGGCAACGGCTTCTAACAGAGCAGATTCTTCAGCTTCACGCACTCACGCCATTGCTGGCTGGCAACTCTCTCGCAACTGAACTCTAAGCTGGCTATGTTCTATACTGTACTGGTTATAACACCTCAGTAGACCATTTCCTTTGTTATAGTTCAACTGTTGCAGCTGCCTAGCAAAGGAAACGTCTTTACCGAAGCATTGCCCAGAAATGGTCGTGGCACAAACCACATAAAAACAAGTTATTCTATTCTTGTGGGCGTTACCTAGAAACGGCCGCTCTTTACACAGTCAGTGCTTAGCAATGGACCTGTATGCCACAGTACTGTTATTGAAAGTGTGCTGTACTGGCTGGACCAAAACAAGAAACTGAAAGCAATACACTCATAGGATTATTAGTATTACCATAAGGTATAGTTGTCCTTGTGCTTAACCAATTAAGCACTACTCATACGCCATGAAGGCATATGGGGAGTGGATGTATAGATCCACATTTTCTTGACCTTGGCACTAGTTGGAGGTGAGTGGTCAGATTCACACCCTGGCCCTTTACCCCTGAGGAATGTAGTACCATATGCTATGCTTATTCTGCAGGTTTCACCTACTGTCATACTACACATTTCAATCAGACATGAAATTAAAATACACATAATTGTCATCAAGTTTTCCTGCCAAATACATGGTAATATACATATATATGAATGCACAGCCCTTTATTAAAAATGAACTGTGGTAAATACATAAATACCCAGTATCTGAATTTCCTTGCCTGTTTATTTATATATATACCAAGTTGGCAAGAAATGTACCACTTATGTTTTAAGCATTTGTTTCACTTACTAGGTTAATGGTAAAAGCCGCCATAGAAGATCTCTGCATGGGTTACCGTTTACACTAAATTGGAACAACACTTATGTAAATAATGCACTAAATGACAATGGAACTCCAGGCACTAAGAAATCAAATACTTCATTTAAGTTACATCATAAGGTATGCATTACAGCAATTATATACTAGCTGCATGCAACTTAAAATATATTTTACACTTATGCTTCCCTACCACTGCCACCACCACCACCACCACCTCCACCTCCTCCTCCTCCTCCTCTTCCTCTTTATAGTATTTTTTTGCATGAGGTACTTAAAGTGAATACAAATGACCAAGCCTCTGTGCGATTTCACATTCTCACAGTTGTGAAAGGTAAGATTCAGGTGCAGGAACCTGTGCACTGAACACTGTCACATATATGACATCAAATCAAAAGAACTTAATCTTAATCTGTCCACTAGTTTCAATGTTACATCTCTGAAAATATTCTGATATGGAGACTACTTAGCTTTTGTTGAATAAGGAACTCTACTTCCTGACTCTGTATAGTGAGAGAAGAAAGAAAGAACAGAAAAGCTTTGCAGTCATAAATTATACACATAACACCTGAACTGAATTTCACCACTGATTGTGTTCATAGTCTCTCCAGATGCCAAGCATACTATTCTCTAGCTAATTCAGCTGACTACCCGTTCAGCAGTGATGAAGAAAAGTGCCTTCTGATGGAAAGGTAGATCTGTGTCTGCAGTAATGGACTTTTAACATTGAACAAATGTCATTATCATTTAGCTATGTGAAATTGCAAAGAATACACTTGAAACACATGTGACTTCCTGTTTTGTTCTTGTTACGCTCTTTCAAAATGTTTCCAAAGGGAAACATTGGTTCATGCTATAGTGACCTTGTATACAATGCCCCATTAATAATTTGTGGAGATTAATTCTTTTGGTATATTAGAAACCTTCAATTATAGTATTCATATGTATTAAGGCATATCATATAAGCCTTAGAGATTACTGTATATCCTTTCTAATTTTTTGCATCATTTGTGATAGAAACGCAGTGTACACAGGAAGAAGAAAGTGAGACACCATCATGACGAACAAATGTTATACCTGAAACTGAGTTTGGCACAAACCAAACATCGAATGAGAATAGTGAAACTTCAGCCAGCTGTAAAGGTAGGTTTCAACTCAGCTTTTATCTTAGCAACACCCAATCCACTAGGATGCCATTTTTGTAGCTTTTATGTCATCAAATTTTTCTGTATTTAATAATTACAGCACATAACTGTGAATGTAAGTTTAAGGCTTGCTTTGCCTTGATATGTAAATTTGAGGTTGATACAGTAGTAACAATTGTTGTCTGGCATATGACATTATCTAACCTAATAGGTGGTTCAAAAGTAGCTGTTGCCTCAGATATTTAACAAATTTGTGCCAGAAAATCTAATGTTTAATATAAATAAACATTTCCAACTGCCTGGAACCATAACATTAAATTTTGATTCAGTTCTATTTTACATTTTTCTGTACTGATGCAATCAACCACTAGGGTGACCATAACTATGTTCTCTATACCATGGACATGCTTCTGCTGCTTATTCCCCCTGCACTACCACTAACAGTGCTGAACTACCTGAAATTTAATTCTATTTAAGGAACCTAGTCCTTACAAAATTACTGGGCTACACAGATTGAATCATAACATGAGAAACAGGCCACTCACTTACAGTCATGTGTTTTCTTGTATATAATTTACTGCAAATGATACAAGCTGAGTACATGTACCATGTTTTTACTAAGTTTTCAAGCTAGCTGACTGATATATTTTCCAGGAATATAAGCTCTACATTCTGGCATGGTTTATGCTTACATGTACACCTGTAAAATTTCACTTAGAACATTTCATTTTTTTTTAATATAGAACAGGATGAATATATAATGTAGAATATTCTTTCAAAGAATGTAGTACTAGAATATTCATAGTATATTAACATTTATATTGTAGAATATTTTCTAGCTTCATTTTAATTTGTCAGGTGATGCATATAGTAATTTTAAAAAGTTCCAGAACAGAAGCAAATATAGTGACACTGTAGCAAGCATGATGGAGCCTTCTTGTGCATGTCTTAATACAAATGCTCCAGATATACAGCAGAATCAGTTGACATAGGCTAATGGATCCAAGAAAAAATGCAATGTACAGGAGTTTCTGAAGTGAGGAATTGCCTCATGGGTTATTGGTGACATAAAACTTCTCCAGAAACTTGGAAAATTTGTGGTAGAAATGCTGAAGATGCTTGAGGCAGTGTATGGGGAAAAGATGATATCCCAGCCCTGGGCATCTGAGTGGAATCACATGTTCATGGATGGTCATGGATTACTGGAACATACGAAGGGGGACCCAAAAATAACCGGAACCGACCTGTTGCGCGCGCATGCTTTGTAGTTACGAGTTGTGCTGCTAGGTGGTGTTAGCTGGGGGTCTCCCGCGACTGTTAGTGAGCTGGCGTCAGTCTGAGTTAAGTGGTTTGTCTGTGGTGCTCTGTTGTGTGCGTTCCTGTTTCAACCCTTTGGCGATTAGTGAGATGGCCGACCAGAAGGAACAAAGAGTGTGCGTGAAATTTTGCTTTCTGTTAGGGAAAACTGCACTTCACTCTTCAAGTCGCGGCAAACATTCACGCGGTTTTCTCTTTGGTCATCTCCAAGCAAGCGAGGAACAAATTTTGCAGACACCCGTCTCATGTGCAAACCTTCAGTTAAAATTCGCTGGACCGTGCTCCATGAGATGTTCGTTTCCTCAGAAAGTTGGTCAATGGTCTTTCGACGATCTTCATCAAACAAAATTTCACACACACTCTTTGTTCCTTCTGGTCGGCCATCTCACTAATCGCCAAAGGATTGAAACAGGAACGCACACAGCAGAGCACCACAGACAAACCACTTAACTCAGACTGACGCCAGCTCACTAACAGTCGTGGGAGACCCCCAGCTAACACCACCTAGCAGCACAACTCGTAACAACAAAGCATTCACGCGCAACAGGTCAGTTCCGGTTATTTTTAGGTCCCCCCTCGTATACTGTGCAGTATCATGGACCAAGGACACTGTTGGTCAGATAAAGGAGGATATCCACTCTGATTATAATGAGATGATAAAACAATTGCAGAAAAGGTCAGAACCATCCTCAGTAAGGATCTAAAGATACAACACCTCTGGCAGCATATATGATGCAAGAATGATCTAACAGCTGCATCAAGTTTAGTAGTAAGCTCGACACAACAGATATGAGAGCACAGAGTAAGAGAAACTCATTAAATTAAACTCAGAAGCATCATCTAGTGTGTATAATTACTCAGTAATAAGTAATCGTAAAGCCTCACAGGTTTAACTGTCTAGGGACATCTTCAAAGGCATCCAGTTGTACAAGGAAATTTCACATTAGTTTTATATAAACTATTCAGTATTTTTGTGTCTTCAACTTCCAGGAATGTGCTATGTGCCATGTCTAATGTTGAGGGTTTTCAGGCATTTTGGCAAATTGCAGTTGCTGTCTTCAAGAGAATGATACCTAGAGGGATTTAGTAGCTCTTACATTATGCAGTGTGTTGGAGGTGAAGCCATTATTGGATGAACAGATGAGTGGGGTAGTAACTAATAGGGAGAGTCCATGTGGTTATTGAAAGAAGGTAATGACAAATTCGTTTACAGATCCATGCTTAAAACACAGTTGATCTTCAAAATAGCATACTATAAACAGCCACTGAACTGTAGAAATAAAATCCTTTAAATCTTTTTGGCATTTATTTGAACATATCTTGCAGTGTGTATATAGGGGTTCTGCATATGTGTATGTTCATGTGGACAAGCTCAACCAGATCTGCATATGTTGGTGCTACTGAGTTCAACAAATTCTTTTTGTTTTGATGTTGAGCTCCACAAGTTCTGCATATATTGATATTACTGGGCTCAAAATCTGTACTTCCATATAGAGGCAAGCTGAGGACACGTCACAAGACATGGTCAACCAGAAGCCATAAAATATTTGAATGATCCTGTATTCACATTGCACAGTTTTTCATATCAAACCATACAGGATATCAATGAATCTACTTCTAAATTTTGTTAGCTTTGTATTGTATGCTAATTTTAATGTCAATAATATTTTAAGCATAAATCTAGAGACATATTTTAAACCATGTAAAACTAGTGTAAAGATACCCATCACAATTGGATGCCCCTGAATATGGCTATATGTGACTGAAACATATTATGCTTTTTGATCACTTTTTTATTAAAAATTTTGTGCATTAGTTGATATTTTGAGTTTAATTTAACCTAAACAATGTATCAGTCATAAAGACCTCTGTTGCATGACAATCCTCAATTTGGAAGTTGTCATTGTCACCAGCAGCCACAAAGGTCCAGAAATACTGCTGAAAATGAAAGGTGATGTTCAAAGTCTTCTTCATATGACAGGGCACTATGCCTCACAAATTCATTCCTGAGATGCTGTAGTCAAGAAGAAAAGCATGCTCACCAATGAATGGAAAGCAATTTTCCTTAAGCATCCTGAAATGTAGGTGGTCAAAACTGGGTGCTTCTGTATGGAAGTACCCCAGCACATCAGTCGCTGCTTGTTCAGTAGCAACTTACCAAGTATGATACTGCATTTGGCCTGTTCGCTCTATTATTCCAGTCTTGCAGTGCGTGATTTTCACCTCTTGTCATTTGAAGGTAGCAGTGGAGATTCAGATGACTTCCATAAATGTTTTGAACTGCAGAAATGATAGTAGGTGAGCCCATCGGCTCAAGAACAGTGAAGGTAACTGCATCTAAGAACCTAGAATGTGTTGTCAGATTTGATGTATGACTCCAGAACTGGAACTTTTTGAACCTACTATGTGTATATATAATATAGTCTAAACCGACTGATGTAATATACATCTAAGAATGGAAATGCTGTGCTTTCTTCTCTAACTAGAATGACTTTGAATATGTGATATCAAGAGGAAATGAGAATGGCCAGTTTGAAATGGTCAAGAAACATGGAGTGTGGGCACTGCACTTCAAACGAAGACTCAAACATCCTAAGACATATGATCTCATAATTGACAGCCACTCTATCAACTTTGTCGATAATGATACTTGGGAGAAACCTCTTTCCCTTCGACTGAGACTTGTTGTCACGCAGTAGTTATCTCAGGCTCACTGCACAGCACGCATCTTTGGTAAGGATAACCGAGTCTATTTTCATCTTGTCTAGTCAGCATTGTATTGTTCCGTAATACAAATAACAAGTATAATATGATTATCAAAAGAATACAAAAATAATAAAACCTGACTTTCGGATTTATTCAGTTAATTCAAAACTGTTGAGTGAGTCCAAATTACCATACATGAGAAGTGTTAATATTTCCTTTTCTTTCCATTTAAATTAGAAATAAAAACTGTCTGAACCATATTTCAACTGACAATATTTAAAGTACCTGATTAAGTTTGTACTCCCAGTGCTTGTCACTGTTACAACTTATTCTTTTCATGATACTAGGGGAAAGACCTTAAGAAGTTTATTATTACTTATGAAGTTCACTGCTAACCACATTAAATAATCTCCAGGAATACACAGAATAAATACATTTTTAATTGTTTAAAAATAACTTGGACTCTTTTTCACCAGCGCTGAACTTTCAGTTTGGTTCTGATGCTACAAATATTGAACTTATATGACCCACTTCATTGTGTTATAATCCAGAACTTAAGATATAAATATGCCTTTGGAAGAAAACAAATTTAAAGTAAAGTGGTACTATATGTTGGGCAAATCTCCCTTCAGACTTCTGAAAGTACTGTATTTTATTCATATGTAAAAAAAGTAGAAGTTCTGGGTTTTATGACTATTTGCATATTTATTTGTTGGTTAATCTAACAAGTTTTAAATTTAATTTCCAGCTGTCATCCAATATCATCCAAGGTGACATTTGTGCAGTATAACGGTAATAAAACTAAGGAAAGATATATACCATGTAATGTGTTCCAGAAACAGTCCAATGTCCTTGCTTTTATTGAAAGCATATACTTCACTGCCAATATTATTAACTAAATGTTTTCTTCAGTCTTTTATGTATTTTAAATAACACTGAAATTACTGAAAGGAGTATATGCCAAGTGATAAAGTATTATATATTTGTTTTAATTTCTTTAAAGATATAAATAGTGACTATTTATAAGACTGTAGGTAATTTCTTTACACAATGTCTGTATAAAATATATAAAGTGATAATACTTGGTGTGGCAAACTCTTTTGTACAGATCTATCAGTTTGCTTCATATATTGCCAAACATAGTTTAGCTTAACTCCTTTAATAGGTTTATATTATACAGAAATGAAGACTTATGTCTTATTTCTACCATTGTGTTCATTTCTAATGCAATTTTTCAATATACATTTTATATTAGGTGCCTTTGACTGTCAAATGTGCAGTAATGTGCGTTCTCTGTTTTGGTAATTGGATGAAGGAGGTACTTAACTGTAAAAAGATTATCATACAAAAAGACACTGAAGTTTAGTAAATTTAGCTGACAGAAAATCTTAACTGTGTTGCCTTATTATGCATGTCCAAATATTTTCCTCAAATCTGACTTTTCTTTAACTTATCATACATAAATACCTTCAGCATCAGAGTATGCTTACTGTGTGTCCTCCACTTGTGGACAGGTTTCCTTATGTTTAGAGGAAGTCTTACAAACCTTTCTCAAATCTGCAGCAGTCCAGGAATATAACATGGATATTGCATGTAATTTTAAAAACCTACCAGCTTCAAAATATTATACATATATATCTCAAAAGAAAACTCCAAACATAAAATGACCCCAAACCAGGGAATGTATCTGCACAGAAATAGTAACTTTATGTATTAATTTCTTGATCTTACTAAAAATGTGTTAAGGTAAAGTTGACCCTACGGTTAAAATTATGCACTGGGACATGAAATAAGGGGGAGTGGAGGTATAACTCCATCATTCTTGACCTCGACACTAGGTGGAAATGAGTGGTCAGCTTCACGTTCCAGCTGCTTTAACCCCGGAGAAAGAACACCTGGTACCCACTGGTCAGGAGTCCAGGTTGGCCCCAGAGGCAATCGGGATGCTGTGGAGTAGAGAAAAGTCCTGGCAGGAAATGAACACTGGCCATCCAATCCATTCAGCTTCACAATTCCTGTTTTCTATCTCACATTCACTGCTCACATTTCCACATTCACTGTCAACATTCCCAAATTCCTCATACTCCCACCAAACATTGTCCTCCCTTGCAACCATTTTATTAGATATACATTTTCTACATTTTTAACTGTCACTTCTGGGAAGTCTTAACCCATACCAAAAACTCTAAAATTAAAAATACTGTCACGTGTTAGTGGCTTGACACGGGGGTTTTGGATTGATAATTGGATTTATTGAAGACTTAAACTCGTAACTACAATCATAGCACTTCTCTCATTGGCCCTCGTTATGTAGTCTCAGTATGGACCTCCCAGAAAACACTGCTTCCAACAATTCCTCTACTGCCATGTTTGCCATGCCACAGCCTAGCAATGGCCATCTCTTTTGTTCCATTATTCAGGTTTTCAGTTATCATGTCACAATATTGTTATTAAATGTAAAAAAGGGAACCATTTTAACTAGATAAATCAATGACAACAGATACATATTCATGAACCACCTGATGATGATCCCTGCAGACTGAAATAAATTGAATATTAACACTTTAATATCAGTCTCATATCAGTTTTTGTGTTGATGGCTCCCAAAATGCCTTGAATACAAGATACACAACAGGATACAAAGAATAAAGACACTTCTGGGAAGATTTGATGCAACAATATCTTGAACCACTGGCATAGCTGTTCTATACTGGGCTCCTTTATTCTCCACACTGTTGTCAGAACATGGTCCCCTGCCAGCAGCCATTCAGAATACAGTTGCTTCAAATGATCCTTAGAAGATTTATTCACTGCAATAAGATCAGTATTCATTACATGAATTACAGATGTAACTTTCATTATTAGTAATTAAAGTAAAAAAGTAAAGCTATCCCTGTAACGGGCCATGAAGGCCCATAGGGTTCTGAGACGTTGAGGGTCCCACATTATCTAGACAATCGGATCAAAGATGGTGGTAAGGCCATCAGCCTTACGCACTGGCCGCACTTTACTCCCCAGGAAAATTATTTAATTAACTGATTCCTGGTACTCATTTCTGTTAGAGGCTGAGTCAACCCCAAGGCCATAGTGCTGCTGGAAGGATTAGGTCAATTACAAAAATCCAATGACCTCATCGGGACTTGAACCATGGACTTTAAATACAACAGTTCCTCCATTCTCAACAAAACACTGGTTCCCTGTTAACACAACTTGTAACAAATCCTACAGCAATTTATTACTTTTCCATTCTTTAGTTTGACACCTGATTGTTAGTCCTATAAACACTTGTGACTTATGCATAAGGGAACTTGTGTTAGCACAGAATTTCATGATGTCTTGTATCAAGGAATTACATATTTTTTCCTCTTTGTAATCTGCTAATATTTTGGGCAACTTCATGGCAGGTGATAGCTGTGGACTTTGAAACATGTCTTCCATCTCTCAGCTTTAGATCTTATCTCACTTTCTTCTTTGTTATCATTCACCCTATCGCTATCTGTTTTTGCATATTCACAATTTCACTATCATATGGAGCATCGGTATCATATCTGTGGCCATGGCAGAAACTGCAATACATGACCTGCCCCACAATTTTGACTGTCATGTCACTTCAAACACAGTTTCCACCCTCTATATTCAGTGCTCTTTCAGGGAACTCCAGGTGTTTTGTTGTTTTTGATTTATTGATTAATTTTCAGGAACACAGCCCTGCTATATAATGATTGTCATCTGTACTCGCAGCATGATATATTACGAAGTTTGGAATCAACTTGCTAGAACCTTAAAATGTATAATCACACACATGCACAAATTTAATATTCAATTCATGGCGAAAGAACATAAATAATACATTAAAAATGAAACACAAAAGAAAATTAGGGAAGTAATTAGATAATCAAAATTTTCATTACATGAAATTTATGTTTTCTTCTGATAAAGAATATTTTCAAACTGATACTGAAAAAAAAAGAAGATTGAAACACATTCATGTTTTCATGTTCAAGGCCGCTGTCTTCTGGCTGATATTTCTCTGTTAGACCTGCAGCATCTTTCAGTATTTTTATTGAAGTATCTCCTTGTTTTCTTCAGTGAGGACAATAATGTTGCCAACCCTGCCATCTGAATCCCAGGCTTGAATATGTCTTCAGATATTTCTCAGACACTGTTTAGTTTTTTCAAGATTTTCCTTAATTATTGTATGATGACTTTTGTCTCTGAAATTTTTGGTTTTCATCTTATGAGTTAATTTTTCACTTAGTGTGTAAACAGTTGTATGACATAGCATCATCCAAGTTTGTATAAATGAGCATCCTTTTGACGAATGTTTGAAGAATGTGATGAACAGTTAAACTTTTTATGTCTGACACTTGAGAGAGCCCTGACTGTATGCATAAAAGAATAACCTCCTATTAAGAGCAAATTTATTATTACATTGAATATTTAACCGAAGAGAGAATCATCCATGTCATATAGCTTTTGTTCGGTCCAGCACATTTATCAGAGAAACACCTGAGTCCTTTGTTTTTATTGAATTATAGGGCATACAACAGGAAGAAAGTGACACAAACAAGAATCCTTTTCATTACATCCTCTTGCAAATTAGTTTTACAGCCAGTGATAATACGAGGGTCGTACTGAAAGTCATGAGTAACAATTTTTTGTTAAGTAACATCCTTTATTATTGACAAACCAAATACACCACTTCAATCTACAGACCTTTCTTTATTTTTCCACATAATTGCCACTTCTTTGTACACATTTCTCCTAGCGTTCTGGGAGTTTGAAAATTCCCCTTCTGTAAAATTCCATTCCAGCCATCCGAAGACACTGACACACTGCTTTCTGAATTGACTCCCTTGTCTCAAAACGTTGTCCATGCAGCTGATCCTTCACAAATCCGAATATATGGTAGTCGGAGGGTGCCAGATCAGGGCTATAGGAGGGGTGTGGAAGAACTTCCCACCCCATCTTTGCAATTGCTTCCAATGTGAGGTGAGCGGCGTGGGGGCGAGCGTTGTCATGCAGGATGATGATGTTTCGTCCTGGACGTTTATTGCGAAATGCACATCGGAGATTGTGCCGCATCTGGGCATAACAAGCAGCATTGATGGTTTGCCCAGGTTCCAGGAATTCGGCCAGAATAAACCCCCCTGGTTCCCAGAAGACTGTTCCCATCACCTTCGCAGCTGATGACACTGTCTTTGCCTTCTTTTTTGATGGAGAATGCAAATGGTATCATTCCATACTCTGCCATTTTGTTTCAGGCTCGAAATGGTGAAACCAGCTTTTGTCACCTGTCACAATACAGAGCAAAAAATCATCGCCTTCGTGTCGATATCTCTGCAGCAGTTCTGAGGTGATGGCTTTTCGCAGACCTTTGTGGTCTTCAGTCAATAACCACGGGACCCAACGAGCACAAACTTTCCTATAGCCCAAGCTTTCAATCATCTCCTGTACTGCACTGTGCCCTATAGCGGCCTCCGTAGTCTAGAGGTAACGTTCCCACCTCATGACTCGTGGTATGCGGGTTCAAATACCCAGCGGAGGTCGTCGAATTTTTAAGGGCGGAAAAATTCAGGGAACAAGTCCTCCGGGAGGGACTTTAAGCTGTGTGCCATGTGTCGTAACTTTATGGCACGTAAAAGAACCTCATATCCCCAAAGGGGATCACTGAGCCAAATTCCAGGACGTTTCCCGCCCAACAATAGTCTCTAAGGCCTCTGATAGATGGGGGAAGCATTATAGATACCGCTAAGCAAGTGGCCGTACTCGCTTGCTTGGCGGGACCGATGGTACGCACCATTTATCGGTAGGGTATAGAGACTGGTAGAATATCATAGAGGGAAGCACAATAGATCAAACTGGTCGTGGTGCATGGGGAAACCCACCCTCTCTAAATAACTAATAACTAACTAACTGCCCTATTCCAAGTTTTCGGGCTATTGTGTCCACAGTCACACACCTGTCATCTTGAATGATCTCATCCACTCTTTCCTTGTTGCGTTCAGTTGAGGCTGTTCAAGGACGACCGATCCAAGGCTCATCTTCAATGCTGGTGTTCCCATCTTTAAAATGTTTCACCCATTTTCGAACACTGCTCGCACCCATGCACACACTTCCATAAGCACGCTGAAGTCTCTGGTGAATTTCTGCAGCAGGGATTTCCTCTTTCACAAGAAATTCGATGACAGCATGCTGGTGAAATGACATATCGTTGTCGGCCATTTTGTTAGGAGTGATACTGGTCACATGATGCAAGCTACTGACGTCACAAGACACTCAAGGTTAACACAACAGGTGGTTCCACCTACCACCGTACTCTCGTCTGCTGTTCCCAGGTTGCATGCAAAAAAAGTTGCTCATAACTTTCAGTACAACCTACGTAAAAGTAGATATTTTTCATTAATTTTGTACATTAGTATGCTGTGTTTAAAATGCAGATACTAACTTAACTCTAGCAAGGCCAATTCCATGCAACTAGTTACAAATGTTGTATCACGTCGTGTTGCCTTGTATTCTATTTATTATTTTGCTTCTACCAGTTAGTACTGTACATGCACCTTCAACTTACCTGCTCTTTTATCAGCATTGGCCAGTGTTCACTTGTGGGTGTATTTTGCATTGTCAGTCATTCTCAAGTAATAGGGTCTTCCAAAAATTAAATACTAAAATTAATGATTATGATGATGATAATAACAGTATTGACAGTAGTAGTAGTAGTANGAAACTGGATCTGTTTCCGTCCTCAGGTGAAGGAAAACCCTATTCTGTTGGGTCCGTTAGAAAGGTCCGGTGATTGAGTCTAGCTCTTTCTAACGGACCCAACAGGATAGGGTTTTCCTTCACCTGAGGACGGAAACAGATCCAGTTTCCGAAACGTCGTGTTTATATTAGTTATCTTAAAAACCAGGATGATGGATAATGTCCAAAAACCCAATATATCAATATTTAGAACTGATTAGCATTTATGTTGGTTAGTTCTGACCAATACCACACAAATTCAAAATGGTAACCCATGAATTAATCTGAATTTTATTGCTGGGTTATAAATTTACATTACCTACATAAGATATTAACAACAAGAATTGTACGATAGGATTACAGTGCAACAGGAAAGTAACTTCCACAAATAACTGCTTGTTTTCCCACCAGTATTCTCTGTTTCTGAATAATTCAACCCACTAACATCAACTTCAAATTCACCATTCTGAATAAAAGATTTGGATTTTGGAGATAAGGGTCAGTCAGTCTTGGGATTATATCCACATACTCTAAGAAATAAGTGCAAATGTGTGTCAGTATTTGACTAAAACTCTTCACCAGTACTGTACAATGAAGAAGTTCGGAACTCGGAAGCTGCAGAACAAGACTGTAAGGACAAGACACCATTGACAATGTAGGCCCAACATTTTATTTACAGCGAACACTTCTCAGTACATTTCATTTTCAGGTATAGTACACTGATGTGGGCCTATTACTTTACACAGAAGTTGTTTATATTGTATACATATTTTATATTTATGGAGATATTTGAAACTATCACTACAACTATTATGTTGCAATCCACATTGTGTATTTCAAAGGCAAAAGCCTTGCAGTTTTATAGATACAACAAGACAGCTAGGTGCAGTTTCTCTCAGTAAATATAATGCATATTTTAATAATAATACTGTACTCAAAATATTATTTCAAATTATCATTGCAAATGGAGACAACTGTAATGCAAGGAGGACACATGCACCTCATAACACTTTCTGCATCTTTTGAAACTTTTAACTGAAAGGTAAGGCCTGTTAGCAAATGTGGTTCAGGATACTGCAAAATGATACTAAAAATAGGCGTGAAATGTATCGCTGTGTAAAAGAGATTAATATTATTGCTCTAAAGGCTGAGAAATTAACAAAAAAGCCATGTGATTCTTCCACACTTGACAGAACTCAACAATTTGGTCTCTAAGCATGGTTCCCCTGGCGGAGGCGGTTGGGGCTATTCACCTTTCACCCTGGATTTGTGAAATAATAATCGGAATTGAAGAAAGTAAGGAGGAATGCTTTGATTTGATTGCAGTAAGGCTCACATTTCAACAACACTCAATAATGCAAGTACCTGGGAACATGAAACTTTCAGTATGCAGGTAGACTGTACAGAGGACAAAGTGTCCAATAACAAAAAATTTGTTTTATTTATTTCATTAATTATTAACCTTGCATATTATGTTGGTCCCCTATATCCCAGGGAGGACTGCTTTTCTTACAGTGCTTCTTCCTAATTAGGTTTCATTTGATTACTGTGATGTGAAGCTCAGCTTAAGGGGGTCCACATCATAATTCACACATTTATCCCTTGATAGACGTGTGAACAAATTTTTGGATTCAGAAGGCATACTCTTTTCTCTCAGTTCTGTGAAATAGCTTGTATTATTCACTGATTACTGCCACTGCACTCTCAATTCTATGAGAGATTTTGTATCACCCCCTTATTACTGTTACTGCCTTTCAATTCTGACAGATCTTGTATAACTCACTGAATACTGCCACTGCAGTCTTGTTCCCTCACCATAGCACAGTACTTTCAAAAGTTCCATGTGTACGAATTAATTTTAGTACTTGTGTTGCATTCATAAACAACCTGAAGATGACAAATGTTGCTGAAACGTGATGCTAATAAATTGAAAAGCATTACATCAAAACACACTAAAATAGTTACACAGAGAGTACATTACTATGTGCACCTCAGTGTATTTTTTATATTAAAATGTAAAGTTGTCCCTGGACTTAACTAATTAATCACTATGCCATGAAGGCATATGGGGGAGTGGGTGTATAGATCCACATTTTCTTGACCTCAGCACTAGTTGGAGGCGAGTGGTCAGCTTCACGCCCCAGCTGCTTTACTCCTGGGGAAAGAGCCATCAGTACCCATTGGGTAGGAGGCTGGGTGGGCCCCAGAGCCAGTCTGGACAACATGAAGAAGAGAAAATCCTTGGCCCTACCGGGACTCCAACTCTGACCCCTCAGTTATCCTGCCAGTTGCTATACAAACTATGCTAGCCAGCCCAGCTCCCATGTTTAGATTGTGATGAAGATGCTCAAAGTATTAATCCATGAATCAGAGAACCCCATTGCCAGACAATGGCTCCATAAACACATTCGAACACGCAACAATGGACGCTGTGTTCTCAGTGGACCAATGTTAACAGCTGATTGCTAGGCGCCCACCAATGGACTGGCTAGATAATGATCATGTGAGAAACCCAACAGAGACATTTGAATAATACAGGTTGTGTTTTCTGTGCATGGTCCATGCTGGAGGTTTTACACGACACATCAAATGTTGTTTGCAGTGAGTGGTAGCTGAGAAGACATGAGTCAATGGCACTAAGCCGTCATGGAAAGGAGCTGTAAGGATTCAGCTGTGAAATGTTAACAGACGCTGAGGATTTTATGTATTATAATTATAATATTCTTTAGAGTGTTATAATTAATTGTAGTTACGACTGGTGAGCATCCAATAAATCAATTCACATCCAAACCCCATCCACGATTCATTAAAACACGTGACAGTATATTAGCTTTGTTTAAGTTATAAATATAGTAGTGTATGACCAGCTGAAATCACTGTTGCTCTGAAAATATTAATAAACGGGTCATATTTGTAATAAGCGATATGATTCAAGAGGGAGCCTTTCCTGATCAGAAACAAAAGACTGCTCAATTATGTAATGACTTTCTTATTGCTAGTGGGGTGGGACTAAGTCCCTTGTACTGCGGCCTCTACTGGCCTATTGTACCAGCCCCAGATGATAGGTGAGGGTGACTGTGGAGCAATTGGTGGAATGAAGGTTGGCAGGGGAAACTAAAGTACTCAGAGAAAACCTGCCCTAGCGCTACTTTGTCCACAACAAATGCCACTTGACCAGACCCAGGATCGAACCCAGGCCGCCGCAGTGGGAAGCTAGCAACTAACCGCTTGAGCTATAGCACGGCCCTCCTATGGCATCATGACTTACATAACTTGCATTCATGCAACATGTTTAATGCTTGATATTTCATTGGTATGGTAATGGAAAATTGCATAATTTCAGAGCTTTCACTCACCATTACAGAAGTTTCATACATGAAGAAAGAGGGATTAAGGAAACAGATGTACTCCAGTATTATTCTGTTGATATTCCTGACCTGCGTCCTGCACTATCACTGCTGGTGTTCACTTTGTGTGTCAATGTATTCTTGAAAGTTTGGTAAGTGAAATATGTAGGATGAAAATAGTGTTTAGTTTTTGTTTTTATCGTGGAAAGATAAGCTGTCCATCCCCAGTATTGTATCTGTGAGACAGGTGGATGAGAATTATAGTTTACATAGGAAAGTGAAGCATAAAAACAAATACAAATTTCCTCTAGCTTCAATTCCAATTCTGAAATAAGTCAGATGAGTGTACTTTTCTGCATACAATTCTTGTAAGTCATTCCGCACATAACATCAAACAATAATGTGTTATCATATATTAATACCACTTCCTGGACTGCAACTCATACCATACACAGCACTGCATGCAGCTGCTCCTTGCTATTGAAGCACATATCAAATCAAATGTGCACTTAAATCTCTCATTGTAAATTGAATACTGTAAGTTCCTAAGTACAGACTGCCAAAATTTATTATAAGATTAAACAGATCTCTTTTCCACCAGAATTCTTTTACTAAAGATACAGAAACAATTTATATTTTGCGAGGAAGAATATATTAGCAAACATGCAAAGATGTGATTCACACCTAAGGAATGACTGTTAATTAAATTATACAAATAATAATTGTAATAATTAAAATAATACAAGCACCTGAGAAAACTGGCCATAATGTTATCTGGTTTGCTGTGGCCTTGAGCTTTCTGCAGTTGATAGCAATTTCAGTGCATAATGAGTAACCTGAAGGTGGAAAGAAAGGCATTCTTACTCACTGTCACTGAAACAAACCAAAAGTGTGTTCCCTTACAATAAATAAGGGACATAATCATGTTCCTATTGGAACACATGTAACCTCAGTCTCTCTAGTGCTTCAACTTCATTTCACTCAGTCATCCAGCCATACAAAATAGTCATGAAACACTAAAGGATAAAATTACACATTCAGGCAGACAAAGATACATCTGAATTTACAACCACACATGCACACGTCTCATACACTAAAGTTAAAACTTTCAAGTCTTGGTAATATAATAGTTGTTAACAGAATTATGACTTCATGAGCAAATGAACAAATGGATAAATTGCAGTATTAATTTAGTAACAGATCCATCTACATAATTAATATTGACTTAATTGAAAAACACACCTGAGAAAGTTGTATTTAAAATTATGACATGTCAGATTTTAGGACATTAATTGTAAAAGAAACAATAGGTGTAAATGAAGACACCTCAACGTTCCTCCAGTGCAGGACTTCCGTTTTGGCTGACATTGTTTACTGTGGGGATATCCAAAGTGGCCAGAAAATCAAAACTGAGGTGATAAAGAAAATTTTGTACAGGCCTAACATTTTCCAGGACTTCCGGATCTTGCACTGACAAATGGGTCAAATGTGGCTCCTGATATAAAAGTCATATGCCTCCAAGGAATTCTGTGTGGGAAGAATCTGCAAAAGAAACAACCCATATGTGCTGACTCTGGTCTCTGATATTGTTTTGTTCCACAGTTATAACTGCAAACTGAGCATCATTAACATATCTCTTTTACCTTCTCTAGGGGTCAAAATCCTGACGTTTCCTACTTTTGTAGAAATCTATACAGAATGACTTTGGAAACTACTTATGTTACTGCTTGAGGCCCAAAAATTGGAATTTAATGGCTCATGCTTAGCACTATGGAAAACATCCTGCACAGCAATACACCGTAACAACTTTTTCCCGTGCCTTCTTCAACTGATAAGCGTAATACATTTTGATGGGAGATGAAGAGGCGGCGACAGGACCGAATGTCAATATAACAACACATCTATAATTACATTAATAATCACTACGATTAATATTTATAAGTCTTTAGGTCTGTAAATCGTCTTCACTATAAAGTTTCGTGCTTTTAGTTTTCTTTCCCTTGTTGGCAGCTGAATGCTTCTTCTTGGGTTTGGGCATCACTTCACACCCACACCCACTGCGTACACGGATGTAGTCAAGCATCCACTCTGAGCCACCAAACGAGTTGGGAGTAGAGGTGGTTAGAGGAAGGGCTGGCAAGTGAGAGGGTCTGTGGCGGTGGTAGTGGTGCCTCTGCGGTTCTCCGGAACCAAACTCTGCAGACGATGTCGAGGCTCCCGGGTTCCTTACAATCGCGTAGGAATAAGAGAATTTCTGAACGCACCGAGACTGGTTATGCAGTCGCCTGTTTAAGAACCGACACGGTTTCCCTACCACACTCTCTTTGCACGAGTATTCGTAGAATCTCTGTCGAATGTCGCCATTCCTGAACAGCACTACATACATGTCGTCCTTGTTCCGACCGCCCTCGGGCTCCACCATTTCCTCCACCGAAGGGCAGCAGTCCACGGGATGCCCTTCATCACCGCCTTCCAGACGCAGCAGCAACTGCATCTCTCGGTTCGTCAGCTGGCGACTCTCCCTGTCCTCGTTAAAGAACGAATTCTCTCCTCCGTCCCGGGCCCTGAAAGTTGTCAGGCAATCGAAAGGTATCAGCAACAGAGGACACGTTGGGTCTATATACACAGCACAGCATACTGATACAAATGTGTTATGAGACGAGCAAGATGGCTCAGCACGTAACGCTTCTGATATAATCGGGAGGCGTCCCGTTCGAATCTCGACCGGGCATAGACTATCCTGACTGAGGTTTCTCGTGAATTTCCTCAGCCCCCTCCACCAATACCGGGACAGTAACTTGAAACAGGGAACGTCCACTTCCTTCTACATCCTTCCTAATTGATCAATCACTGTACCATTCGACGTTATACAGTCTGAAGTACTGAGAGCAGCTACATAAACCATATATAAAATAAGCATTTGTAAATAAGTATTTAAGAGAGATACCATTTTAAAACCAACGCTGTAGGACACTTAGGATAAAACTTAAGCACAATAGACCATTGAAGGTCGCAGTGCTAGGGCCAGTTTTGTGGCTCACCCCTCATACTCATAGGATAAAATTTAACATTTCTGATTTTCATTTCATATTTTCCTTGCGTCGCATTCGAGTGCAAAGTGGGCAAACACCTCTCCATTAAATCCTCAGCGTGCGCCTGCTAATCTGAGAAACCAGTTGCCTGCTTGAAATCCGTGACGTTTCTCGGAAATTTCGGTTGCCAGTTCCTTGGTGTGCCCTCGCTCTTAGAACTATGTTCGGGTTTTGTGTTTCACAGCATGAGGGCCACCACCCCTTTCCCAGGCGTATGTCTAGTGCCCTCTACAAATTGCGCAGTAAGTACGTACTGACTACACAACTACGAACCCACGCATGGAAGAGAATTTATGATGTGTACTCAGTATAATTCCATATTCTGACCGTGTTACTGCTAATGATTCAAATGTTGACCAATTCTCAGGTAAAAGCCTGCTCGAGTAATACGCTGTCCACCACACACGGACTACACTGGATTTGACCCGGACTTCAGCTGTGAGAAGCCGGAAAACACCGCCTGAGCTATGGCACGACTTCAGATAGGACAATCAAAACAAATACAAACTCCGTGGCCTGAAGTCCGCAAGCGAACTATACCGACCGAGCGACCACCGCTTGTCAGCGAAGTTAGTGCCAACATTAGCGGATAGAGGGTTCCGTGTGGTCAGCGCAACATATCCCCACGGCCATTAATATCTGGTTTCTAGACCGGAGCTGCTATTTCCTCGATTATCCTCACGAGGCTGAGTGGACTCCAGTCCAGACCCATTACTTATAGAAAAATCTGGTAGCGCCGGGAATCGAACCCGGGACTTCTGGATCTGTACCCAGGAACTCTGACCACTAGAGAACGGAGGCGGTCCTTCAGATAGGACAGCAGGTTTTAAAGAACAGAAGCGTTATCCTTGTACTGTTTACAGGGAACGGAGGCCACTAAGCAGAGTAACACAACACGAAAATTTCAACATAAAAATGTGCCCCCCCCCCAAAGTATCATCAGATCTGCGCGATAAGTTCATTACAAGCCGCAAAGAATTCAGAAGATAGGCCTATATGATTAAATTGCTTTAAGATGACAGACTGGGAACTTCCGTCGCACCTCTTAAAGGTGATGGCAGGAAGACTCCTTCAAATATACTACGATCTTGCTCTTCGTTCACCAATTCCATGTTCTATGCAGACGGACTGCGAGCGCCTACCTTAGTGCGGTTATTTCAAAATCGCATTTCAGTCAAGAACTTTGGGGCAACTGGTTTCTCTTTCCAGTACCGAACGCCACGAATGACATTCTTGATTATATATGTGTATTAGGTGTCTTTTAAGGATATTTTACATGTGCGTGATATATTTATTTTAACCATATTTCCATCAACAGTCAACCATCTTAAATAGTAATGTTGGTGTTAATGATTCACATTCCCCTTGGATAGCGACGTTTATGGCAATGTACTGGCGGCAGTAATGATAATGGAGGTTGTTACGTAAACAGGAACTGTTCAGTAGAGACTAGCGTTGATATGCTAAGTAGTTCTATACTGCACATACCACGCATATTCAATTCCAGCTGGCATTATAGTTTCATATTTAAACTTCTTAATTTTCGTATACACAGTTATTAAAATAAACTTTGTACAAATAACATGGTGAGCTGATAGAAACGGAAGTAGCATAACCGTGAGTTTTAATTTGGTTTCTTCTTTTGAAGCTGTAGAAAAGGAACAAATATTCTAGTACTATGTGCGCACAATCCAACTGGCGGAAGAATATAACAGAATTCGAACCAAAAGTTGTCATGTTCTAATTTCTTTTGATTGATCTTCTCTGTGGATCAGAAAAACTATTCGTACAAGTAGGTTTTCAGACTTCTAATGCTAATTCAAGCCGTAGTGTTCGTGTAGCACAGAAAACAATTTATTACTTCTACTGTCATTTTGCTCCGTGGACTTTAGTCCACAAGCGAACTATACCGACCAAGCGACCTCCGCTTGTCAGCGAAGTAAGTGTCAGCATTTGCGGATAGAGGGTGTCACGTGGCTTGGCGAGTGAGTCGATCAGCATTGTTGGTGACAGCCACTGGACGACTGGAAGCTGTGATATGTTGAAGATTTCGGATGCTGTTTTCGAAAGGAAAAAATATACGACAAAGCAGGGCGTGTGTCTGTGTGTAGTCCGTTGAAAATCAGTCGACGTTTCGGAGGAATATGTCTCCATTTTCAGGATAAGCCAAGCAAAAAAGGAGTGTGAATGCAGGTTGCGTTATATACCAGAAGATAGTACTGTTCATGGTGTGTGTGATGCACATCTGATATACGAGTCAGACAGCGCTGTCGTGTACTGGAGAATAACGTCATTAAGAAGCACGAACGAGTGGAGGTATAGTCCCATGCATCTTAAACCTTGGCACCAGATGCAGTTAATTAGTCACATTCACGCTCAGGCCGCTTTACCCCTGTATGCATAGCAATCACTTGATATTTATACCCACAATAATCATCAGTGAAGCTTCACAGGTCGTCGATTGAATCATCAACTATTCAACGACATATTTCGGCCACACGACCATCATCAGGTATATATGATGATTTGTGTAAACGGTTACATTGTGCCACAACATCATATGACCCGCGAGGCCTGTGGTCTAAAAAACATTTATCATGACCGTTACATTTAATGTGTTTAGAACTTTTAAAAAAAGAGGTAAAAAGTTGCATGTCTGTTTGACACTCCTGTATTTCGCGTTCTGATTATTCATCTCCGGGTCACCAATATACATACGTGTTGTGTTGGCCACCACAAAACCCTACTGCTGAGTACAAACGCTTGTCTTCTCTTCTTATTTCCGGTAATATGGTGACTAATACAAATGTACAAGCCTTTGAATGCCCACTTCATTAGTGAGCCTCAACGAGAGCTTCTGTTGTTATTCCTGAACAACCATTTCGATCGTTTTCATAAGGCAATGCAATGCATTGGATGACAATCCGTTTACCTTCGCGTTTGAAGTAGCTAACGAATCAGTCACTAAGTAAAATTTATGAACAGAAAAACGGTTAAATTCATCAACGCCAAGACTGCGGAATACTCGGGTACTCTGTCTTTAAGCAATAGAAAGAGTTTTTCGAGGGCACATCCATATCTGAATGTATGAACATTATATTTGCTCTGAATGGAACATTAGTCCATTAACGATTAACATAATCCATTAACGATTTTCTTTAACGATTCGAAAATCCGATGAGTGTAAGCAGTGTTAGCAGAAGAGACTGGTAGAATATCATAGGGGGAAGCACAATGGACCAATACAGGTCCAAGTGCATGGGGAAACCCACCCTCTCCAATAACTAACTAACACTTGACAAATTTAGCAGTCCCTGGAGTCATAAAACATATGGAAGGAATAAAATCATTTGGTTCTCTGGTGGGAAAACTTACATCTTGTTACACCCCGTCAGATTTTCGAATCGTTTGACTAAAGGACAGAAGAATGAAAGAATGGCTATTCAAGAAAAGGAGCTAGAGGGGTCCCTTCTTCAGTGCTAAGACCTTCCATTATACCTGCAAGAGATTAATGCCCTTTCTATGGTCGTGAACAGACAGTAGCATCGTGGCTGAGATACAGAGTGCGATCTGTTTTCTGTGCGTTCATAGTGACATCGAATTCTGTAGTTTATAGATACACGTATATATACATATATGTATATATACACACAAAAAAAGGTGTGTACATCAAATTTTACTATATATTTTAACACATTATTCTGCAGAATCAGCAATAAAAGTACTGGCTCGTGGATGAGTTTGGGCATAACTAATACGTATANGGCACATTGGTAAAATATTGGCCTAATGTCACGGAGTTCCAAGGGTCGGAACCAACGAAAGTTTTATAAAATACAAGTGGAGGTAATAAGATTTTTCTTGAATTATAACTGAAGATGTAGCTTAAGAGGAAGATTAAAGAAAACAAATTTCAGTGGCGCTGGTGGTCTAGTGGTAAGACACCAGCCTAGTATTCAGAAAGTCCCGGGTTCAAAACCAGTAGGATTTTTGTGGGAAAAAATAGAAGAAGAAAACCAACGGCGGTGCAAGAAGTGAAGAGATAGAGATAAGGTGTGGGGGGCGAGGGAGGGTAGAATTTCTTTTTTTGCGGCCGCTTCGCGGTCATTAAGACACTCAACCTAAGCGGGTTTTATTAAAATCCACATGGGATCAAAAAGAAAAAAATTTTGGCCCACCATCCGCCCACCAACCACCCGCCCTTAGGGGGTGACTTTGACTTATTCATTTCAGACCAAGTTCTATGAACGAGAGTTAGCAACAAATTGTAATATAACTGCAGCGCATTCTGTTGACTAGAACCTCATGGAAAGCCACGAAGTGAAGTATGCAATGTAACATCTTAGTTTCATATGAGCTCACTTACTGGGCTGTGCCAAGCCGCTCCTCCAAAAATTCATTTTATAGGGCTAGGGCGTCAGTCACTGAGTATGAGATCAAGGAAGCGTGACACCACACCCATGCCCACCCTT